CGATAATAATTACACTCTATCTAATCAATGCTCTATTTTTAATTGATAAAGATAGTTAATAATTGTAATTAATTATTAATACAATAATTAATATTTATTAATTAATAAATTAAAACTAACTAATAAATTGATATTTTTAAATATTATATAAAAAAATTTAAAATTTATTAACCTTTAAGATTTTTTTTTGGCGATAATAATTACACTCTATCTAATCAATGCTCTTTCTTTCACTTATATAGACAGTATTTAAAAGTCTTTGCGGCAATAACGTTTCCTCACAACTACCCTTTGTTTTCCTTTCCGTATTTATTTACTTTATTTTATCCAGAAGACCCACGTAGTTCCGCCTGTCAGTTTGTTCCGAACTGCCCTGTGAGGTGTGGTTTCAGTTTTTCCACCAGATAATAATAAAAACAGCGAAATATAACAACACAAAAAGTCTTTATCAAATTTCCTCATCGCAGAAAATTGATTTGCGAAGACCCTCCGTTTTCATGATCTGATCGAATCGGTTTCCTATGGAACGGATCGTCGGTGGTAAATACAAGCTCGGCCGCAAGATCGGCAGTGGATCGTTCGGCGAAATTTATCTCGGTTCGTCTTCATCCTTGCGAGTGATTTCGTCTTTAGTACTTGTTTTTGCGCATGCAGTTTTCTGAATCTGTCGGTATTCCGGATACACTTGCTGATTGATCTGTGTTGATGTTGATTCTTTTTGCAGCTACGCATATCGATACCTACGAGATCGTAGCTGTTAAGATCGTAAGTCTCGACTAGTTTTTTTTTTTCTTTTCTCTTCTTCTTCTTTCTTTTTCCGACTTGATCTGATTATGAGTTCTGTGTTAGGAGTTTATTCGTTTTATCTAGTACGCATTCCGAAGATTTTTAAAATTTTTTTTAATGGGCTTAATTTTGTATAATAATAATCATATATTTGTTGCTATGGCGGAATTTTGAGGAGTGTAGAGATTTTACAGCTAGAAATCACTTGTGCTGCAATTTTTACCTATATATATATAGTTTCTATTTTTAATGTAATTTTGCTGGGTGCAGGAAAACAATAAAACAAAGCATCCGCAACTGCTGTATGAGGCCAAAATATACCATTTTCTTCAAGGGGGAAGTATGTATCATCATATGCTCAACTTTGTGAATACGTGTTTTTTGATTGCTGAAGAATTTCTTTTCCATGATTTTGAACTTTTGAGTTACTCTAATGATTTGTTCTGTAGGTGGGATTCCAACCATAAAATGGTCTGGCGTAGATGGTGAGGACAATTTACTTGTCCTTGATTTGCTGGGACCAAGCCTTGAAGATTTGTTTGTGTATTGTGGGAGGAAATTTTCACTGAAGACAGTCCTTATGTTGGCTGATCAAATGGTGAGTAAAATTCATTGCTTTAATTTGTTCTCATTTCAACTTTTTCGCAGCTTGGGCATATATATATGCTAGCAAGTAAATGCATAACTTCAATTTTGCTTTTAAG